TTGGCTAGCTAGGGAATTCTTGGAGTTGAAGTCCACACATCTTAAAGTCACAGTGACTTAGCTCTCTCACAATGTTCTGGAAAGAGGTAATTGCATGCATTAATTTCTCTTTAAGACAAAGGTTAACATTCTCAGATGCAGACATTATTTTGAATTATATACCTATTATATGGAAAGTGATAGCTAAACAATGAAAATGAAATTTCTCTCTGTTCTTGTTACAGCCAAGAGATTTATAGTTCTTCAATATCGGACTGACAAATTTAAGGCCCAATTCCCACTGGATTACTTGAAGTTATTTGCAAGAAAGATACAGATGATGTATGGAAGTTTAAAATGACTATGGTAATCTTTTACTCAAACATATTATGTTACACATTAATCTATATTGAGAAACTTCTGTCTGTCTCTCTTTCTCTGTCTGTCTGTGTATGTGTAATATGTATGTCATATCATAACATAGCATTGCATTTTTATTACTTGTTTTTTGTTGTTGTTTTGGTTAGTTAGAATTATGGAACACAATCTTAGTTGGTTTTATTTTTTTATGAGTATACCAAGACTGCCAAACTTCAGCAATAGTAATATATCCTGTACTTTTGCATTTACCACCAGCATATTCTGGAACAAATTGACTGATTCTTCCAAAACTTCAGGGAACATATTCAGTATACTCCAGGCAGTATCCCTTAGCTGTTTGTTTGGATTCCTGAAAGAACCTGGCCCCATCCATGTTTATAATTCTAAGATTACCGGCCCACCTCCCCCTTTCCCCGTTCTTTTATCTGATATGCCTGACCCCATAGTGCCCTGAGCTAAAAAAAAAAAAAAATCAGTTCGGCACTTCTACACTGTGGACACAATCTCGAAACCTGTCAAAGTCAAGAGATAAGATTGCACTGTTGGCTTTTTGCTTCCAATTCAGCTCTACCTCTGCCCATCATTAAAATGGACTCCAGTCACATAACTAAGTTGGAGACAGGCTAGTTGTTGACCATATTTTGACTATACAGTAGCAAATTCAGTATGTTCATGCATAGTGCTACGTAATAATCTTGTTAGCACTACACCAATCCAGTCACTGTGGTATTTATTCAGTAATGCATGAGTAAAGGTAGCATGGCTTGGTGTAATTTATGAACTTGGTGATAGCCAGGAGCTGATGTTTGAAGGTCACATCATCTTGTGCTATGGAGTTGCTTTCATACCAATTACTGTAGACCTGTTGATTGTTCATCCCTAGCCTTTAGAGCAGAGTCATCTGTGACGGATGGAGTTGAAATGGAGGTTTGTAGTATTGCAACAGAAACTCTCTCTCTCTTTCATATGCATGCTGTATACTCACTACAAAACAGGCAGGCCCTGTATCACAACACCACATCTATACTACTTTTCTAGTTCTGGCCTATTTTGTGAACACTGCTTCTTTTCATGTAAAATAAGCTCCCAGTTCATCAGGAGGTGTCAAAAAGTCAAGCTGGCACTGACATTGTGTAACAAAGCCCAAATGTCAACCACACATTCATAAGAAGCAACAAGTGGAAGCTTGTTAAAGAGAGATGGAACCTGGATGTAAAGGAGACATTTCCTGACAGAGCAATTAATCAATGGAATGGCTTGTCTCCTGGAGTTGTGGGCGCTCAATCCATTTGTCAGGGAGGGTAGAGAGTTTGATTAGAACAGGGGTCTCCAACCCCTCCCCCCCTCCAGTCTGTGGACTGGCACCGATCTGCAGCATGCCAGAAACCAGGAAACAAACGGGCACATAAAACCATGCCCCCTCCGATTCGTGGAAAAGCCCCTCTCCTTGAAACCGGTCCCTGGTGCTCAAAAGGTTGGGGGCCACTGGGTTAGAAGACCTCCAAGGTACCCTTCCATTCCCACGATTGTATGATTCTAATCAGTTAGCACAGGAAATAGTTCTCTTCCTCCCCACTGTATATTTGTAGTGGGGTATGTGTATGTATGTGCGTACATACACCAGAATGCAAAGGTGTCCTTTTCCTGTACGTCACTAGAATAAAAGCGAAGGATGTGGGTAGTTTTTCCTCCGCGCCAGATTCTTACACTAAGGGCAGCTTTAGTGAAATATGAGAAGGAAGTCAGGTGAAGAACGGCTAAGAAACTAACCATCAAAGAAGCTAAGAGCCTGGAATAAAGACTCAGAACGCTTAATCACGTGTCTTAAGGTTGGACCGCTTTAATAAAAGTGGGTTTCATCAGTCTATATAGAACAAATAGAAGCTTCAGTAAAAAAATGGTTGATTTTCTCCATTGCAGAGTTCTCTTTGATGGGTAATTACGTGAAAGCCAAAAATATATCACAACATATTTTGAATTATTTTCTTCTTGCACTTTGTATAGCTCTTTAGAATACTCCTTTTTTCTTAAAGAGCGGTAACATAGTTCTAAATGAGACAAAAAGACAATATTGTGTCTTTTCTTCCCTAGATGAATAGCTGACACATTAACAAGGATAGTACCCCAGTCCTTGATTCATAACAGATGCATTTTACGTGAAGAAAGGATACAAGGTTTTGATAGCAGGGCGCCCAAGAGTTTCCCAGAGCGAAGAACATCTGACTCATCATCATGGGAATGCATATACACACCTCTCTACCAAGTTCCAAAAATATAAAATAACTACCCATGATCGTCCATGAAGGCACTGAAACATACATCGCTTCAGCCGAGAAGCAGAACCAGGGAATGGTTGCTAAAGCTGGTTTGAAATGATGAGGTATGATTTACCTAGACTATTTGTACTGCGTAAGTGATAAATCTAAGGTATCTAGTGAAATCCTAAATTAATGGGCACTATGCCTATTGAACTCTATGGAACTTAGTATAGGATCAGGCTGATGATAAAGTTTATATATAAAGTTTATACATATACATATACTGTATATATACATGTACATGTGGTATGAGCAATAATGGTTTTTCATACATATATACCTGTACATATACATGTCTATATACTGGTGTGTGTGTGTGTGTGTGTGTATGTGTTTATGGTATTGCCTTCCTTATTCTCAGTCCTCTACCAGAGGCCTGGGAGTTTAAGATTTCCGCACAGTATCTTAGCTCTCAGAATATATATTCTTTTATTCAATCATGTCTGACTTTTGGACAATGCCTGGACACATTTTCTTGGTAAGGTTTTCAGAAGTGATTGACACCGCCTTCTTCCTAGGGCTGGTACAAGGTCACCCAGCTGTCTTTGTGCCTAAGGTAAGACTACAACTCACAGTCTCTGTTTCTAGACCCATGCTTTAACTGCTATGGTTTTTAAAAAATGCCTTATATATTTAAAAAAAACAGAACCAAAAAAAATAAAAAATAGAACAGCAACAGAAAAGCAGGAAGTGAAATCAGTAATAATGGTTTCTCACACATTCATGTATATGAATATAAAGAATTTGGGGTTCTGAAATCGTTGATAAATAAGTTGCTTTGGGGACTTCATCGAAAAGAGCTGATTGCTAAGATAAACAATTTGTAACAAAGGTGATTCAATTACTCAATATAACTACTGTGTAAGAATTTTACTAAGGAGTTAGATGCTCTCTAGAGTGCACAATAGAATAACCTGCATTTGAGAATCAACATTAACTTCCTATGGGAGATCTTTGAAAATCTTCTTGGTTAACAGAAAAGATCATAAAGCTTTCGTGCGCAGGTAAGACTGCACTTACCTGGAACACTAATAAGAAGCTTACTGCTCACTTGACAAAACAATGAAGGTTGGATTGAGAATTAGGTCTACCTGTACATCATTTGTGCAATGACTTCATTATGACTTGTATCAGAAAGCTACGCTTGTAGGTACTCTTTCTGCAAACAAAAGAAATACATAGAAATCATATTCAATGTTCCATTCTAGATGCTCCTCCAGGATTGGCCTACGATAGCTGTTTTTCTCCAACCTACATACCGCATGTTATTTTCACACTTCATATTAAATCTTAAAATGATACACTGTGCCATTGCTGCATTGTGAAATTGGTTTGATCTCCAGTGTTAACATTTAGACAATGAATGGGGGGAAAAAAAAACTAAACAAGACAGGCCCTAGCAAATACAGGTAGTCCTCAACTTACGACCACAATTGACCCCAAAATTTATGTTGTTAAGCGAGAAATTTTTGATGTGAGTTTTGCCACATTTGCAGTTGTCAAATTACAAATGCAGTTGACTTTGCTTGACAGGTGTCAAGAAGGGACCACATGACTCTGGGACACCGCCACTGTCATACATGTGAGTCAATTGCCAAGCATCGAATGTAAATCACGTGATATTACAACAGCCATAAGTGCGAAAAATGGTCACTTTTTTTTTTTTCAGTGTTAACTTTGAACCGTCACTAAACAAATTGTTGTTAAGTCTGGGACTACCTGTACTTGAATGGGAGGCCGGGAGGAAGCCTCGTGTTAAAGTTAATAAAACGAAAACAAAACATTAACAAACCAATTCCGTTCAGAAGACGGTGGGGTCCTCCGGGGAGTTTATTTCAAGACCAGCGAGGGCAAATTCTGCGCTACTAGTCCCCATTGAATCGGCCTGCGTGAAATGCTTTCAATGTATTTTTTATTCCTACGCAAATAATTTTATTCTTGATTAACCCGTTGAAGAGTTCGGCCGAATCGCGATTCTTTAACCCTTCCTTCCTCCGCGTCCACCTCCTGAAGGGAGCGCGGCAAAACGAAGCCCGCCCGCCCGCCCGCCGGGCCTCAGAGAACCCCGCTGACGGCCGCCGGGCCAAAGAACCGTCTCTCCTCCCTTCCTCCCACCTCACCGGGACTCCCGGACGGCTCCCGGCTCGGAGCCTTTGCCAATCAGATGGAAACAGGCGGAGCTGAGAGCGTCGGAGGCCGGCCCCTTTGCGCGCCTCGGAGGCAGCCGGCGCCGGCGATTGAAGGAAGGCGAGAGCGGTGACGGCCGCGGCGGCTGCGCAGGCCTCTCGTCACCGGCCTTGGCTGGGGCGCTGAGGAGGGCGGGGGGAGGGTGGGGGGTGCCTGGCGGCCCAACAAGCACCTGCTGCTGGTGCCGGCCCCGCCGAGGGCTCTTTCTTGGGCTGGCGGTGAAGCGAAGCGCCCGCGCGTCTGTCGGAAAAGCGGTGGCGCAATCCGGAGAAGCTGCGGCAACGAGGCTCCGGGCATCGCGACGGTGGAAGAAGGGAGCTTGAGCGAGGGCATCGCAGGCTTGGCAGCGTGGATGAAAGTTTGGTCCGAATTCCGTGCAGGGTGAGGAACAAAGCCGTCCCGCCATCCCCCCCGCCCTCCCTTGCCGCCCGCCTCCTTCCTCCTCCTCCTCCTAGTAGCCCACACGGAGAAGCGCGGAGCCCTTTCCCCGCACCGCGTCCTGCCTCTCCTCCCTTCCAGCTTCGCTCCCTTCGCCGTCGCTTGGGCCTCGGCCACCTTCCCCCCCAACCCCACCGCCGCAACTCCCCCCGATGGAGAAAGGAGCCTCGACTTCCCCCTCCGTCCCGCCTCGCGTCGCCTTTTGCTCCAAACTGGACCCAGTCCTTCCTTTTATTTTTTATTTTTGTGTGTGTGTGTGGGGGGGGCTCCTTGCTTGGAGAGAGTTGGACTTTGGAAAGCCGCCCCTTCCCCAACCCACCTCCGCCCCGTCCAAGAAATTGCTGTAATCTTTTTTTTTTTTAATTTTGGGAGGGAGTTCCCTTGACCGTTTTGGGGCACCTTTTTTCCCCTCTGGGGCTTGTTCATAGCTGCCACTTAGGATCCTCTGAAGTTTCTCAGGCTCCCCTGGCTCCTGTTTAGCACACTCCCTAATCTGGTGCGGTGGTCTTCATAGAATAGAATAAGAATTAGAATTAAAACTAGGAATAGGAAGAGAGAACAGAACAGAACAGAATTTTTTATTGGCCAAGTGTGGTTGGACACACAAGGAATTTGTCTGGGTGCAAATGCTCTCAGAGTACATAAGAGAAAAGATTCATTCCTCCAGAGTCAAGAATCATAAGGTACAACACTTAATAATAGACATAGGATACAATAAGCAATCAAATTCTACTAGAAAACAGTCAGTATAAATGGTAAGGATGCAAGCCCCACCCCCCTATGGACAGGAGGACCTTTCTACCCTGCCCAAAATCCTGAATGCCTTTGCTGGAAGGAATGGAGGCCGAGCAGCAGCAAGTTGCAGGGATTCCTCAGGAGAAAATTATAGTTTTTTGGGCCTCTTTTCAACTCATTTTATTCTCCACCGGTAACCTTCCTTCTCTTGGTTGTTGTTCCTCCACTGCCACCCCCCCTCCAAAAAAATATCGAGGGACATTGTCTCTGTCCTTTGAGCAAGCAACTTTCTGTCCTTGAAACAATTGCTGCTTCTTACATCTCTTCCTCATTCTGTGGTATCCTTTCATCAATAGAGGAAATTGTTTCCTTGCTTTTGTGCCCTGATTTGACCCAAACTTGCGATAATTATAAGTAGGCGAAAAGGTAATTTTCTGGGCAACAGTATGGAAATAGTTTGTCATTCACCTTCTCCTAAGGTGTGGGCTTGATTTGCCAGTCTCCTTAACAGCTGAAGGATTTCCTGGTGGTGTCCTATCCAAGGACTAATTGGATCAAATCAGTCAAGGTCAGCCAGATGCTCCTGGTTGCTGTGACTTGCTTTCCCCTAGGTTAATATTAAGGGTTTTTTTTTTTTTGGAAGATGTGGCTAGAAGTGTGAATAAGTGAGTTTCTTTTAAATATTGTCCTTGGGACTGGTGAATAAATAGAGCTCTTGAGTGGGCTGTTTACTTTTGCAAAAGTTTTATTTGTTGTAGAATTAGTGGGGTTCTCTGAGTGTTTGTTTCTTAAGCTTGACTGCTGGGAGAAGCGAACTATGCGTTCTTTGTTTTCTCCCCCTGAAACATGTCTTCAGTTATAATTTGTAGTACCCTCAACTTACAACCATTAATTTATTCATTTGAAGTTACAACAACACTGAAAAAGTAACTTGTGACCATTCTTCACACAACTTTTACAACATCCCCATGGTCACGTGATCAAAATTCAGAAACTCGATAACTGGCATGTGTTTATGATGTTTGCAGTGTCCTGGGGTCATGTGATCCCCTCCTTGTGACTTTCTAACGGTCAAAGTCAATGGGGAAGCCATATTCACTTAACAACAATGTTAGTAACTTAACTGCAGTGTTTCATTTAACAAGTCTGGCAAGAAAGGTCACAAAATGGGGCAAAACTCATTTAACAACTGTCTTGATTAGCAGCGCAAATTTTGGGCTCAGTTGTGGTCATAAGTCAAGATTTACCTGTACATGTTGCTTTCAAGCTTTTCAAACCATGGCTGGCAGATGTGGTAGCAGAATTTTGTTTATTAGCTAGTAGAGTTATGTTGTGCTTTCACATTCTCTCTTGGGGTATCTATGAAGTGCCTTTCTCTAACAAAGTGGCTGCACCTTGAAAAGAGGCACCTAGGCTTTAAACTGTTGAATACAAGTCAATGTCCAAATGATGTATAGAAACTTTTGGAGACTCAATCTAAACCATTGCCCTGAGCTTTAAATAGTGTGTGCGGTGTTTGGTTCGAAAACATGCTGGCAAAGTGTTGGCAACTCCTCAAAGAAGCCACACCTTTTTCTGGACTGGCACATGTATGTGTGTGTGTGTTCAAAGATCTTATGGAGGCATGACACAATGCAATCACATGTCATTCCCCGTTATTGTCTCCTGAATTCCAACGTGTATTTTCCTAAACGTAGGAGGATCTGCTTACAGGTACAGCAAACGTACCAAATGCTACAACTGAAGCATTCTTGCTTTCTCCAGATTTGAATACTGTAGATTGCTAGGCTCCACCTTTGAACTAGTAGATGTCTTACTTTTGCTTCAGAAACCAGTGGTATGAACCAGAGGATTGCAATTGTTTTCTTTTAGTCATGAGAGATAGTTCCCGAGAACTGGTGTTAAGAATAAAGTCGGAGACTTCTGATATCAGTGGTAAACAGAACAGCATTCTTCATTCTGTGGTTTGCAGGTGTGGTGGACTTTATTATCAGCAGGACAAAAGACCAAACATTGCATGGACAAAAATTGAAGTTCAACCATCAGCATCTCAAGATTAGAATAGAATAGAATAGAATAGAATAGAATAGAATAGAATAGAATAGAATAGAATAGAATAGAATAGAATAGAATTATTGGCCAGGTGTGATTCAACACACAAGGAATTTGTCTTGGTGCATAGGCTCTCAGTGTACATAAAAGAAAAGATACATTCATCAAGAGTCCAGAATCACCAGGTACCACACTTAATGATAGTCATAGGGTACAATAAGCAATCAATTCATACTAGGAAACAGTCAATATAAATCATAAGGATACAAGCGACAAAGTTACAGTCATACAGTCACAAGTGGGAGGGGATGGGTGATAAGGAGTGATGAGAAGATTAATAGTAATAGTAGTGCAGACTTTGTAAATAGTTGGACAGTGTTGGAGTTATTTGTTTAGCAGAATCAATGTATCTCTAAGGACAATACAGAATCACCTGACACTTGAAGAAAATCTTTGCCAGGACGGTCCTTAACAATTTGAGAGCAAATCCACCAGGATTTCTGTACTTCAGAGTTACATAATGTTTTCATGGCAATGATCCTTTTTGATCTTTGAGGGGCATGCAAGGAGGTATATTCCAAATAGCAGGGAGAAGAATAAAAGTTCATTTTGACTCTATTTATAGTTACACTGACTTATACAGTGAAATATACAAATCTACAGAGCTGTTCTTCTCACCTTCAAGCCTGCCTGTGGGTTTCCCAGAAGCAACTGGTGGTCAGAACATTGAACATGATGGACAACAATTTCTTTGTTGTGTTTATATCCCACCCTCTCCTCCCATTCGATCTCCATCCAAGGGTTTTTCCTCTGTTCTTCTTCACCTTTCCCTGCTAAAGAGATGCATAAGACATGTGATGTGAAACAAGCAAGCAGGTTCTTTTCAAGGGATCTGCTGCCCAACTTGTATGAGTTCAAAGGAATTTATTTGCTTCTTTTAACAGGCTGGAACTTCACTTCTTCTTACTACCTGAACAAAAGTATATGACAATATTTCATTTTATCCGTACAGCTGAATGATGGAAAAAAAAAATCTAATTTTGGTTTCATAGACCTTCCACAAACTCTGTAGACAACCTGCTCATCTCCCTAAATGCTTTTTTAAAAAGCAAAGCATAGATAAGGGTGGGTGATGATTTCTATGTTTGACAAGAAGTTGCTGACAGTGACAGACAGTGGTTATTATGGAAATTATTACCATCAAAGCTTAATGGAAATTTGTTAAGAATATTATGCTAATCTCTAAAGTGCATTAAGCACATCATCACACTAGTCTAAGAAAAAGACATTACAAATGATGTCATCCATTGCTACTACAAAGTTAAAATAAAATTCTCTCCAGCAATGTAAAAGAAATGAATTGTTTTGCTTATAATCATACAAATACATTCAACAAGAGTAATAAGTCAGATAGAGATTAATAATAAGCATTGATTGCATTATTATTCCACCTTGCTTCCAAGGAGACCAAAACATTAGAGCAACAATAAAATAAGTTTGGCAGACCAATACCACATCTGTCTAACATCACTCATTCCCCTTCTGATCCGAGCTGGGTTTTCATCAGAAGTTTTCCAAATAAACCAGAAAAACTCTGTTCTCAAGGGACAATGGCAGAAGAAGAAACAGACCCAAATACTACTACCAACTCCCATAATCTGGTGCCTTCCAGAAAAACAACACTGGATTTATTTATCTACAGTTTGTTGACTATTCTACATCTGGCCAAGTTAATTCAACACATTAAGAAACCACATGATGATTTGGGATGCATTTTGAGCCAAGCCACTGAATCAGATCACTGGTCCATCAAACCAGTATTGCAAACACCTGGGCAATAGATTTTCAGGGTTTCCCACTGAATTTTTCATTCTATTCTATTCTATTCTATTCTATTCTATTCTATTCTATCCTATCCTATCCTATCCTATCCTATCCTATCCTATCCTATCCT